CCAGATAGTAGCAAGGTGCACCTAATGATGTGTCCAAATGGGATACTGACAGTCATTTTAGATATGTCAACATTTGGACTGTGATTAAAATTTCATGATGAGAAGCAGAGAAGAAACCTCCAAAATTCAGAGCTATTTTTAAGTCATATTTTCAGATGCATAAGTGAGACACCAGAGTTTCCTACCATTTGGTGTTGAGACAGTTTACCTCTCTTTTCTAAATGTGCTTCCCACATCAATCCTTAAATCTATTCTGAACCCTTTTCCACATTCAGACAAACACCCCTCTACCTTTTTGATGTGTCATAAAGCAGAAGTGGAGAAGACATCACAGTACACACACAGTCACACAAACACAGACTCACATCATATGGTGTAATGACTTTCCTACTACTGTGGTGAGCTGCTAGTCAACCTGTTGAAACCTGCAAAGTAACCCTAGATGTGGAAAGTACCCCTGCAGGTCTGAGACACATGGAACAGAGGCTCAGGAGCTCTGCAAGCTTTGTATACACAAACACACATAGCCTCATGCACACACAGAGCTGTGTAGTTTCACTGCTTCTTTCCTCCAGACACACAACCCAGACATGATCTGAAATACGGTAAGACCCCAGCTACTTCCATCCTGATATGCTTCTGATGTTGAAGAGGAATCGATGTGTCTGCACTTGTCGGTAGGAGACTTTTCATGCATGTGTGCTCATGCACATCAGTGTCCCCACTCATCCTGGGAATGTGTAAGGTGTCTCAACACACTTGGGCTACTGTATATGGAAAAACTTTATATTATTAGTAGTATTTGCTATAAAACAAACAATCTGTGTCCTTAAATTAAATGTTTAATTAAACCTAATTTCTATTAGTTTTATAATTTGATTTACTTAAAAGTTTTCTGCGCTTTTTTTGAGAATTAGTTGTTTAATAACATATACTTGACTATTTTTACAGTTCCACATGGGTGAGTGCTAAGATCCATAGGACTGTTAATGTTTAACTTCAAATCACTAATTTAATAGTGTGAGCGCGCTGGATATGTGATGTGGTTTTTAATGTTTGTGTGGTAAAGAACAGTGTTATGGCTTGGCTATAACAACAGGCCACCATGGATGAGACTTGTAGTGATTAATTCTTTTCAGTGAGAAAACTCTCTACTGATGGATAAATCAAGCCATGGTCAGTTACTTTGGCTCAGTATTTTGTACATCATTTAAAATTCCGCTCTTTTCAATAAAAAGGAATTCTAACCAATCAATTTAAGTTTGCATAATTTTCAAAGCGTACTTGTATTTTTTTCTAGTGTGTATGCACCTTAGGTCTCCAATTGCAGTATGTGTACCAGCATGCTGTATGTGTGAGATCACCTGACTCACATCTGCAGACCTTTTGACACTCATCATATCTTTTTACACCTGGCCTCCTATGATCAAGACTTCAAGAAGAGAGGGCAGGTGTGCGCGCTCCCTGCCCTCATGACTTATAAACCTAGTAGTTTCATCAAGCCGCTGCCCCAAGTGATGCTGGAAGCAGGAGGCAGCTCTTGACTCCCAACATCCATCTTTTTTCCCCTCCCTTGCCTTAGTTATAGTGGGGGAAAGCCCAAATGAAATCTACGAGGCCATAAAACAGGCCTTTAATTTGCTTGTATATGCCCAGGAGCAAGCACTACTATTAGCCTCTTGTTTTTCTGGACTGCAGTCATAAGCATGATTCTGCAGGGTATATGGGTTTGATCAGATCAGAAAGAAAATTTATGAGTGACGTTTAGAAGGCTGAATATCAAATAAGCAGGTGGGATTCATTGCATCTGTATGTCTCTGCTAGCACAGCAAAAAGGTGACTTGGGAGGAAATGAGAGGGAAAGAGGACCTCTAGCTATGTACCAGTTTGCACAAGATGACAAGAACTTCCAACTTCAAACATATAATCTCATCAAAGACTGAGTGAAAGATATATGGGTGGCTATGGCTGGAGGCCTACCAAACAAAAACAAGGCAATAGTTATGTCTTAATTCACAGTGTGCCTGACCTGAGGAGACCTTGGCATTGCTGTTTCACACAGAAAGAGAGACACAGATCAGAGATAACCATGGTTTTTAGACATGCATGCATGCATTCTGTATGTTATCTGCTATTAGTGTAATTTTATCTTACTGATCAGCTGCAGTGTTTTCTCTGCACTATCATCCTGAGAGCCACGTTCTGCTTTCTGCTGTCAGCTTGTGATTACTTGGATCTGATAAGTAAACAAACTAAGCTTTCTCTTAGGACAGAAAGTCAGAATTTCCTTACATGGCTTAACAAATATAAAACACTATAGAGCACAATCAACTACAAAATGTTGAAAAACCAAAAGCCCCATTTGAGAATGCAGGGTCTCAGGCTCAGGCTATATTAAATTTACTGCAAGTGCAAATTTAAAGTATTCAGTTGGTAAAATAAAGTGGACACAATTGTGCAACCTTGACAGAAAAAAATAAATTATTATCCCGTGTATTTTTTTCAATCTAAAATACATTTATGAAACAAGAATGCCGTCTGGTCCCATGATGTGGTGATAAAGAGGACATGCTGCATGCCTGAGAAGTGGCTGTACCTCGGCAGGTAGCACAGGTCATGGTGACTCTATCCACGTCTGCATACTAAATATCCTTTGGCAAAATACTAACCACAAGTTGCTCTCCAACAGATCCATCAGAGTATGAATATATGCAAACGTTAGGCAGAAAAAACACAGATAAGAAAGTGGTTGTATGAATGGGTGTGTGAGGGCAACCGGACGGAGCTTGAAGAGATCACAACAAGGACAGAAGGAAACTAAGGGCTTAAATATACACATGAGGTAATCAGGAAGGTGAACTAAATCAGACTAATGAAACAGGGCAAGCAGAACTTAACTCAGTGCACACAGGATGAGAGACTATCAAAATAAGACAGGAAACCAACAGACAGAGAGACCCAGATTCCAGACTCAAAACTAGCTTCAGGGAAGGAGTAAACACAGAGATAACAGACTAGCGAGACTGAAGGTAAACAAACACGATGACACTGAAGACAGAACACGGACGCTAGAACAGACTGGACACAGAAAAAGAAGAAAGAAATCAAGAACTCTAAATAGACTCAGAGACGACAGAAAGGAATATTTAGAAACTACAATACATGTCATCTTATACTTTCAAAGGAAATTAATCAGACATCAAGAATAAAGTCTGAATACTGGTAGAGTAGAAACATGCTCTTCCATTTACTCTTACTTTTTAGTGAGGTAATCTTACCTTTTTTTCACACTATAAACATAAACTTACTGTTGTAACACATAATAAAACTTGCTGGATACCAACACTGTACCTCTCAACTCAAAAAGAATCCAGTGAAAAAATGCGAATTCATCTTTTCATAAAAGAAAATCTAATTAAGAGAAACAGAAAATCAAGCTGCTGCTAAAGTTAACTGCTGTGAAGAGCACTGTGACTCCTAACACTTACCTTTTTTATATTTCTTGTGTCCTATATTACTTTTAGTGGCATAAGCACAAAAATATTGATTTTCATGTGTAGCAAATCATGAGCATCTCACCTTTTTTGTTTCCTGTTTTGTAGACTGATTATTATTCCCACAGTGACGAGTGCTAAGAGGGAACCGACAGCACCGAGAACAAAGCCCACTTCATCGTCTGTGAAAAATCACAAGAATGTAGTATTAAACACTGCTATAAACTATTTATCCATCAGAACAGTCATGCACCCATCGCAACTGTATTATTTGGAGTATGAACAACATCAAGAGTTTGTAAAACAGCGAGCTTGTTTTAAGATCTCAGCACAAGCTTAGAAACTTTATAAACAGTGACAAATGATGAATGACTTAAAGTCCTTTTTTGGCTAAACTGTTACATATATAGTGAACATTTATGTATCCAAGGACTGGTTGAGTGGCCGAGAAAGCACACACAGAGGCATAAATGGTTATTAAGTAGTATAAGATTTATTTATAGTGCTCACCAGACAAATAAGTCTGGTGAGCACTATAAATCGTGTCAGGCTCAGGGTGATTTTGGGTGAAGAAAAAGAAGAAAGTACTCTTTTCCCACACAACATAAATTTTGCTCACAGTGTTAAAAATCTATTATTCATCCAACTGCTACATTGAATATCCCTGAATATAAAAGTCCCCCACTTGCTTTTTGACAGTTTGGTTCTTCAACATTAGGGTGACATATCAGGCACACTTAATCTAAAAAGACTTTGGTAATATTAACACTGAAAAAGTGTATTTATTTTTACAGCAGGGAACTGATGACAGTATGTATACAGAGGAAAATGACAACAGGAAAATACGCTAAAATGCTGAAGCCCTGATCTTTATTATTTAACTGGATATACAAAACATTTTATTACAATAACTAGAATGAAGGGGTTAGTAACCGTTGTAACAGCAAGACAAGAATAAATGCACGAAGTGGACAGTGCCAAGTGGTCTACAGACACATAAAGTACCGAATTAAAAAGACTTTGTCCTATGAATTTTAACATTGGCATGGTGAGTCAGTATAAAAGTGAATATGAACCAAAGAGAATCATCAGATTTGACAATTTCCTTTGTGCTAAACAGGCAAACACTGTGCTCATATTAGAAAGCTTTTTGTTGTTTCATTTTGTTCTAACGAATCATTTTGTTATGTATGCCATTCATATAAAAAACAAATCGCAGGTATTTTCTCATCTAAACCAATTCATAAAATATTTAAAAAAAAGTATGATTGGCCAATTAGCTAGAAAGCAACAGTTACTAGGCAGTGTAGCAGTTTTTAAACATACCAACGGGCTTAAACAAAACTAAAATGATAAACCTGGCTTAAAAAAAAAAAAAACTTGACTCTAAATTGTGCGCACTCGTTTAGGTGATACTGTGATTAAATTAAAAAAAATCTAAAATGTTCCTTTGGGAATTGGCAAGCACAAATGAACTATACAACTTTCTATTTGAGTCTTAATTTGAGCACATGTTAAGTGTGATGCTGGTCCTTAAAAATAACCTCAGCTGTGTGAAAAAAACAAAAAACAAAACACAAAAAACCAAGGCACAACTAAAGCTAATAAAGAACTACACCGAAATGCGCACTGACAATGTACTAATAGCTTCACAAGCTTCTAAACTACTCTGTGTTAATATCAATAGATCAGATCTGGATGCAGCAGGAGTGACATCAAACTTCTGCACAACGACTGAATGCTAGTCCTCCACATGCTCCCAGTATAGTTATAATCTTTACCATTAAAATCAATCTGGTTAGTCCACTCAAACTTCACTGATCAAATAATAAACCCACAGTGAGCAACAGCACTTGGGTTGAAAGCATCACATTTCCACTGAGATGAAATAAACACATGATAAGTATCACAGGGTTTGACAGAGAGTATCCCTCACCTGCTTCACCTATCCTACAGTGAAAACAGATGAAATTATATGTTACATATTATCAATTCAACCTCAGAATATTTCTGAGTTCATAAT